TGGGACGAGATGGAACTGCCAGGAACTGCTGCTGCGGAGGAACCTGAAGTAAGGGACGACTTTTTCACTGCTGCTCTGTAGGATGGAATTGGTGGCTTTTTAAAAGCTGCTGCTGCTCCATGTGGCAACATACCTCCCATGTTTCACACATTGTTGATCTTCGTGAGGTCCAACTTCTTAGTAGACATCTTTATAGAAACTATCAAGAAACTTGTCACTAAGCATGTGTCGCAGTACTAGTCAACTTTAAGACTGAGAGATCAACGTTATTCAACCCTCCTTTTATAGAGAGAGGAATCCCCACTCCAGAATTTCCGCCTTTACATTTTCTAGAACTTTCTATTGTATGTATTTGCAAAAATAATATTAATTCGAGTCTCAGCAATTTTCAAACAAGTTAAAACATGTTTTAGAATCTATAGGGTGATATTAATAGGAAAAGATAATTTTTATTAGTTTTTTCTGGTTTATTGAATAATCTTAACCTAAAAGTTTACATTTTTTTTAAACATAAAATCACAACTGGTATAATAATCTCTTAACGTAGTTAGGTTGGCGTCCACAATATCATGTCCAGAGGAAGAGGAGTCTCGAACATCGTCATCATCCTCTGTAGTGCCTCTCATGCACTGGGTACTTGATGACGTAGTAGTATCAGTAGGATTCAGGAACCAAGTTTTTAGAGCAATAACGTTGCGAACTGCACAGTTGTGGTACCAGGTTTGGCAATGGTGATGACACAGTGGAGGAATGGCACTATGCAGTTTTTTCAAGGCAGGGCAGCCCAATTCTTCAACGTTGCACACGTTAGTTACAAACACCTCCAACCATTTCTTCTTTTCAAGTCCTTTGACGTAGAGTCTACGAGCTCCTCTTAGGATGTCTTGTAATAAAAGTCTCACTTCTTCATAGTGTATTTCACCTGCAGACCAGTCTATCCCATCGTAATTACGTATTAACCACAAATTTTCACTTTTGTAACGTGCAGGTAAAGACTTCCAGGAACATGGTGGTTCAAATAAGTACACTAAAGGTTGAGCGTCTTCCTCAAAAGGCATTATTGTCAATTCTTTGAAAACAAACTCATTGAATGGCTTCTTGAAGCCTTGAACATCAACAATGAACTCCATGTTGATATTATACTGAATGTTTTATGTGTATCTCTCTGCTTTTATACCTTCTTCCCCCACCACAACCAATATTTACCCTCACCACTGCCACCTATTGCAGGTTTAAACAAGTTTTTTAACTTCTCCACTAATTGATTTGTATTGAATGATACGATCGTGTATGAGACAATAGGCTGCAGTTCCAGCAGGGAAATTTTTGCTTGACTCAAACTCCAAACGTACATCTACTGAAGCTTGTTTAAAGAATTCATTTTGCTTTGAGCAATCGATGACTATTAGTGGGACAGAATCCTTGAAATCAATTTTCTTTAATATAGGTTCCGGCTCTCTGTCATAGTAAATGCGCTGAAAGTTTGCATACATCTAATACAACATTGCAAGTTGGTTGTGTTCAATATCTAAATTTAAATTTCCATAGGGATAGTATTGAGAGTTTAGAACTATCCACGTCGCCGTGTGTAAATGTGTGGTATTGATGAGACTTGGCAGGCAGATTTGGTGGAAATGATACCTTATGCCAAAGGAAACAAAGGCTACAAGTACTTGCTTACAGTAATCGATACATTTTTAAAATACGCATAGGCTGTTCCTGTTAAAAGTAAAAGTGCAAACGATGTTCTTGCAGCAATGGAATCCATACTTGAGAAAGGACGTGTTCTATAAAATTTACACACCGATCAAGGAAAAGAACTTTACATTACAACTTTTAAAAGTCTACCCACAAAGCACGACATTTTTTAGCAAGTTTGCAGCAAGTTTGCACGGCAAACTTACGAAGTTTGCATTGCAAGCTTTCTGCAACCTTGCAAAGTGTATAGAAATGTCCTCAGTGCTGCAAGTTTGTAATGAAAACTTGCCGAAAGTTTGCAATCGAAACTTGCCAAAAGTCTACAATGAAAACTAGCCGAAAATTTGCAATGAAAACTTGCCGAAAATTTGTCATATAAATTTTCTGAAAACTTTCATTGTAAATTAACCGAAAACTTACCTGAAACAATAACTAGAAACTTTCATGTTAAATTTGTTAAAAAATGTTAGGTGACCTTGCCGAAATTCCTCTGGAAAAATTGTATGTAATCTAAATTTCTATATATGAAAAATTAAAAAAATTAATTTTCATTAATATAAATTAGTTTTACTACCAAAATTATTGTAATTATATAGTACAGAAACATATAAAAATGAAACGGAGAAATAAAAAAAAATTATTAATTTAGGATAATATTTATTTTTTATTTATAAACACATAGATGACGATGATAAATATGTCAAAATCCGATAATAAAAATTTAGGGAAAAATTTATGTTTTAAATTCACTTTGATTATTATGAAAAACAACTTATATTCATACAATTTCATCTATTATTAAATTTAAGTTTTAACGAAATATATACAAAAAATATATGTTCAATTTTTAAAAAAGTGAATTTATTTTTTTAAAATGATTAGGAAATTATCTTATACTTCTTCAATATAGAAGGATCATCAAGAATGTTTTAAAGGAAGCATGATTATTCCTCTTTTAGAAGGCATTCTCCACATTTTGGATAAAATGTTATTGAATGAAATTGTGCAGTAACCATCTCTTGAAAAATTTCCAATATGAATATTAATATATCGAGAATCTGGATTGTCGTATAAATTTTCAATAGAGACAATATTTTTAATAACTAATAGAATGTCATCGTCACATTCTACAATATTTAGTACTTGGCCAAATCTTCCGTCTTTTAAAATGACAAAACTGTTTTTAGAATCACGACAAGTAATTTTAAATGATTTGAATTCCAATCTCTTAAACTGGTGATTTATATTAGTGCAATCTTTTGTTACTGGTCCTATACTATGAACATCCTTTATTTCAATTATTTTAATTATTTCCGAGTTGTTTTGTGCAGCTTCACGTTCAGAATATCTTTTAGCAATCTGCTGAAGAGGTTTCTCCCCCTTTCTTATCATCCTCTTTATTGTGGACATATAGTTTTCAAATCTGAATGAACTGTATTTGTCAAGGCGTCCGTACTTTTTTACGTCAGGGCAGATATGCAATAAATTATGAATGTTATGAGAAACGTACTCTTTGCCGTATATTTTTTCAAATCCGTTCACAAAGTCTATAAGCATATCGTGACATGTATCAATATTTGTCGAATTTTGAAGAAGAAGCTCATCAACTAAAACTGAAATTGCAGTATGTAAAAGTATGAAATTATCGAATATTTTAGAAGAAACAATACCGTGTAGAGCAACAGGCCCCGCGTACAATAGAAATGTAAGGAATTCTGTTGCCTTCCAAAAACGGTATAATAATATTGTTCTAGGTTTTCTTGAAAATTCAGTTGGTATATTGTAACGAAGAGTACGCATTCTTTTATCTATTCTTCCAACATCTAAAATTGTTTTCCTCCCGATGTCAATTTTCTTTATAATCACCTCATGCAAAGCCTTCATCAGTTTTAACTGCAAAAGGTCGTAAGATTACCGTGCAAACTTGCTGCAAACTTGATAAAAAATGTCGTGCTATGTGGGTAACCATAAAAAAGTTCCCAAAAAAATTCAATTTGTCTTAGGAAGACGATTTCATTGCAAATTCTTGCACAAAATACACCCAAAAGTGTAGAAAAAAATCGACACCTAGATAGGAGTAGAGGAAGCTCCTTACTAACACCAAAAAGTGAACCATAACCATAAAAAAGTTCCCAAAAAAATTCAATTTGTCTTAGGAAGACGATTTAATTGCAAATTCTTGCACAAAATACACCCAAAAGTGTAAAAAAAATCGATACCTAGATAGGAGTACAGGAAGCTCCTTACTAACACCAAAAAGTGAACCATAACCATAAAAAAGTTCCCAAAAAAATTCAATTTTTCTTAGGCAGACGGTTTTTTTCCAAATTCTTGCACAAAATACACCCAAAAGTGTATTTTGCTAAAACCTGCCTGTAGGCAGCCCTTCTTTCATTTTAGTATCACCACTTTCCTTTTGAATCAAGTTAGATTCAGATTAACAACCGCGTTCTCACTAAGAACATGTGCTCAGCAACTTATTAATTAAAATCTTTTGTTATTTTCAACATCCTTTGTTATTGATAATTGTGATGAGTTTAAAAGGACAAAGTTAAAAATTATGTTCTACATTGTAGAATTATTTAAGTGCTAAAATAAACTTTAGTCGTTATATTTTTAATTATTCAAAAAACAATGTGTTTTTGATTCAACCCACGACATCAAGAAAAATCATGACTTACAATTTCAAATAATTGATACGACTTCAACATTACATTAATTATCAACATAAATTAATGGTCCTTCGAGCCGGATTTCTTCTAAAAAAATCTCTGTTGATTATTATTATAAATTTAAATTCGGTAAGTACTCTATACATGTACAGAATATATAAGGTGTTCATTTTAAATAATGACTTTAAATAACTGAGCACCTTTAGCTAAAACTTGAACTGAAAATCAGATACATTTTTCCCTAAATTAATTTCTATCTTTTCTCTTTATTTAAAAATTGAAAGTTATTTTCTTTTTTTTGCTTCCGCTTAATTTCCACTTGCTTAATTAAATTAATTTATTTTTCAAACTTCGACAGAGAATTTAATTTAATTTTTTTGCTTTATGAACTCGCTTTAATTTTCAATAATAAATTTTGTTCTTCTTTCCTTCTATACATGCGGTGTGCTGTACTGATTTGGGGAATAGTCGAGTACTCACTTTAGTTCTGTACTCACAAATCGCTGTGTAGTTTTAGATTACCTGCCGACTATCCTCTTTATTTACTATATGCGAGTAATTAAGGTTAAATTTGGTATTTCTATTATCATATTACTAATCTTATGACAATTATTTTTCATATCCAGAACTATGGCTGATATAGAAACAGAAGACGTCATATCTGATTTTATAAGCACCTTTTATACAAATATTCTAAAGTCATCAAGATCGAAAGAAAATCCTCTACAGTACCTTGAAACACGTTTAGCCTCCTTAGAGACGTACTGGAATAATTTTTATAAAAACCATCTGGAAATAGCTGTAAATGAAGATTATTACACGACACCCTATATAAAGGAAAATCATTTTGAAGCAGTTGAAGAAGAGTACACCGCCACTAAACCTGCCATATTGCAGGAAATAGAAATTCTCAGACCTAGTGCTTCAAAAGCTTACTCGTCTGGTGAAAAGAATAATTACTCGACTATTGGCCTGGATAAAAGAACTGAAGATAACATCGTTCCTGATACTCCCTTTAAACATTTACCTGCTTTGTCTCTTTCACAGTTTACAGGTAAGCAGTTGGAGTGGGAGACATTTCGGGACATGTTCACGGCGATGGTCCATAGAACTATACTCTCAGATGTACAAAAACTTTATTATCTTAAGTCTTCACTTTCTGGAAAAGCTGCAGAAAGCTCAAAAAATATGCCGGTCAACGATGCAAACTATTCTAAAGCTTGGGCCATGCTTATGTCTAGATATGATAACAAAAGGATTTTACTTGCAACACACATGTGGAAATTACTCTCCTGTCCTCCTGCTGCAAAAAGGTCAGTAGATGAGTTATTACGTCTCCTTGATGCTACTAACGAGTCTTTCAGAGCTTTTGAAAATATAGGTAGACCTGTTAATGAATGGGACGATTGGTTTGTGCATATTCTAGTTCACAAATTAGACCATTCTACCAGGGAAGATTGGGAAACAGTTTTACAAGACACTGAGGACTTTCCTACATACACAAAACTCTCGTCCTTCATAGAGAGTAGAATTCGGGCTTTAGAAGCTGCTCGTCCAAATGATAATCCTCAAGTTTCAAAGACTCCCAACATCAATTGTAAACAAAACAATAAATCTTAAAAACAAAGTATTTCAGTCAATATTGCACAAACTGATTCAAAACCCAAACGCGATCCATGTCTACTCTGCAAAAGCTTACATTTTCTTGCTTACTGTCCTTAATTTAAAAAACTTAAAACACCTCAGCGTGTTAAACAAGTTCACGTCTTGAACTTATGTAGTAATTGCCTTCGTCGAGATCATACCACTGACAACTGTCCTTCTACTAAAAATTGCTTTGTGTGTTCAGGTAGACATCATACCTTTTTACATGATACTCCACCAAACACACCTAACCAAAACGTGAGTACTTTAGTCTCTACTTTGTCAGGGTCTAGCTCACAAATTAATCATTTGTCCGATGCATCAAGTTGTCAGTCTCAAAAAGGAATTTTTGCTACAGCCTATATCAAACTTTCTTCTTACAGTGATAGGTCCATTATAATCAGAGGTTTCTTGGACTCTGGTTCCGAAAGATCTTTGATCACAGAACGAGTCGCACAGGCTCTTAAATTAACTAAAGTAAAATTCAATGCTTCACTTAAGGGCATAGGTGATTCATCGTTAGGATCCTCTAATCATAAAGCTGATTTGATTGTGAAATCTCCAAAGGATCCTGATTTTGAACTGCCAGTACAAGCACTTGTATTAAAATCTTTAGTTAATCTAACTCTAAGACATAAACAAGATCACAGGAGTTGGTCTCATCTTAGAGACCTTGATCTTGCAGATCCAAATTATTTCCGACCAGATGATGTACATTGCGTGATTGGTATTGACCTGCTAGGTCACATTCTTCTTCCTGGACTGAAAAAGGGTCCCTTCAACAGTCCTACTGCATTACGAACAGTGTTTGGCTGGATATTCTTTGGTCATTCCAATCCTTCGACTAATCACGAAGAAAAACAGTCTTTCTCTATTCTTCATGTCGAAGAGAGAGATATTATCAATGATTAATTACGTTTATTTTGGGAAATGGAAGAGCTCTCTTCTAAAACATTTCTAACCGAAGAGGAAGCCCAAGTTGCACTTACAAAGTCTTCTTTTTCTGCAACTGTTAGTTGATACATAGCCACTGGAATTGATAGAATCCGTTCAAACTCTAATGCTATTCGCTGCAACTCAAGAGCAAACCACTTTGCTGGATCAACATCTTCAGGATAAGAATTATAAAATGATAGGGTGCTATTGAAACTACATTTCAAGTAATAGCCAATATCAAACACTTGATGCTCATGAATAACTTCAGTGTTGGACTGATTTGAATTCTGATCTTGTGTGATAGGCTTCAGAAGAGATTCACAGTCCGCGTAAATTATAAAAGGCACAATTAACTACTTACTAAGCGTGACAGATCCTTAATCCACACATAATGAAAGTTTTGGTTTGCAAAAGATTGATTTTGATCATCTTCTTCAACTTCTTTATCCCTACTGTCATCATTCCAGTAGCATTCTTCCACTCGCAGCAAATTGACATGCTGATTCTTTTTATTAGATATTAAATGCAACGGGATAATAGAGAACATTTCTTTCTTTAAAATGAGACCCTACATAGCACCGAAGATCGGCTCGAAACTTGAGTGAACCTTTAATTAAATATTCCTTAAATGTTCAGCTCCAACCTTGATTGAAACTTGAAAAAAATATTCGTAAATGTTCGCTCAGATAGCTGGATTTAAAAATTATCTAATCATAAAGTATTAATTGTATTAATAATAATATAATTAAAATAATTATATTTTTAATTTGAATCAGTTTAATGAATAAATTGATTTAAACAATTTTAGTTTTCTAAAGTGAAAAAAAATAATTTCTTAAATTTAGGGACTCATACTTGATTAAGCAATTTTTTAGAGACTTTAAATAACAAAATTAATTTTGAAAATAAATTTGGGGGCCTGGGGATCGAACAAGGGTTTGACGAACGCAAACGCAATACCTAACTAACCGAGCTATACGAGCAACTATAATTGGAAAAAAAATCTTGCTCTTAAGGTGCAAGTGATTTTATTGGTTGCGGAAAACGGCACAAATTGGTTCGATGGTTAAGATAATTTTTGTTTGGTTATATACTGTCAAAACAAAAAATGCAGTTTTAAATTATCTCGCCGTTTTCCGCAAACCAATAAAATCACTTGTAGCTTAAGAGCAAGATTTTTTTTTTGCAATCATAGTTGCTCGTATAGCTCGGTTGGTTAGGTATTGCGTTTGCGTTCGTCGAACCCGTGTTCGATCCCTGGTCCCCCAAATTTATTTTCAAAATTAATTTCGTTATTTAAAGTCTCTAAAAAATTGCTTAATCAAGTATGAGTCCCTAAATTAAAAAATTTTTTTTTTTCATTTTTGAAAACTAAAATTTTTTAAATCAATTTATTCATTAAACTGATTCAAATTAAAGATATAATTATTTTAATTATATTATTATTAATACAATTAATACTTTATGATTAGAAAATTTTTAAATCCAGCTATCTGGGCGAAGATTTAACGAGTATTTTTTTCAAGCTTCAATCAAGGTTGGAGCTGAACCTTTAACGAATATTTAATTTAAAGCTTCACTCAAGTTTCGAGCCGAACATTTAACGAATATTTAATTTCAAGCTTCACTCAAGGTTTGCGCTAAACATTTGCTCAAGTGCGGACATTTAAATATTTACAGAAGCTTTACTTAACCTTTATTCTAAATACTGCGAACATTGAAAATAAATATTTATTAAATCTTCGGTGCTATGTGGGACCGTATACATTGATTGAGACGTCATTTTGATTTTCAAATTTCTTAATTTGGTGTATTCCAACTGGAAATGTGATATCATTAAAATTAAGTGTATCTTGAAAAGCTCTATAGTTGTAAACACGATATGTATGTCTGTGATGAATAACAGGATGAAGTGCTGATAGAATGGCCCACTTGAAAAATTGATTGTCCTGGTTCTTTACATTGATGCATGCTTTTTTGCTCTCAATATACTTGGGTAACTTGATATACTACCCCTTGAACTACCCCTCATTGGAATCCGTTTGTTAATATTAACATCTAATTTAACAATCGAGTGCAGCGTCCATCCTGAGTCCTTCTCTTCAAATTCCTCTGCTTCTTTAATAATGGGGTTCTTAACATGAGCATCAAATATCGTTTTAAGATTAGAAGATGCATAAATCTCTTGATTTTTAGATTTAAAGGTAAACTTTTCAACTTGATCTTCTTGATTATTATCAACAGGCTTACGAAATTTTTCAGTGAGTACAGTATTGACCTTGACTCCTTTATGTTCACGCAAGAGCCTTCCAATGTAGTCTGTAAAGAGTACAGCGACATCTATGAAAAAAGCACGGACATCCTTGTGTTCAAGGTTGATGATGGTGGATGTTCTCACTCGGATTCCAAACATATGGTCTAGATCAACCCACTGTACACGTTGGGTTATGTCTTCTTCTGGATTTGCAATCTTTCTCTGTTTCGATGGAATCCCACTTCCTTGTTTCAAGAGTTGCTCAAATTCCAGTTTAAAATAAGTTAAATTTCCAATAATATTAAGACATTGACGTCTCTGACCATTACTCAGTGGTGGTTGTCGGTAAAGCACCGTCCGCAGACACCTGGAGCACACGTTCATCCATTTATTTATCTGGTCTAAGGGTGCATAACCCAACGACAGCATCAACTTAAGGGCAATCTCAATGTCAGAAAGGAGATTCTTACACTCTTTAAGTATGATTTTGCACTAGTTCCTTAGAGTACACTGGGACATACGAGTTCACCAGGTCTTGAGGAACGGCACTAGGACTTTACAGTTCACTAGATTTATCCGGTACACTAACACTTTACAGTTCACTAACACTACAGGACTTTACTTTCACTTTTGCACTATACTCAATGGCTCTGAAAATTGAACTGATCATAGGCCGCTCGACACCTTCTTATATACCCACTCTACGTACCTAACCTAACTTACCCATGCTTTTCCAGAACTTTCTATAACAACTGAGAACCATCCATACCGTTCTAGAATTTTTTTTCCACGTCAGTAAAACAGGAATTTACGATTTTTTTCATTTTTACAATATAGAGTACACTATATAGGGTATCAGGGATTCAAAAACGAAGAGTGGATTTTCAAATTTTTTTCAATTTCAGTCGGTAAAATAGGTAAGGATGTATTTAAAACAACAACAAAAATAGTACTCCACAATTGTTGCTTCTAGAACTCTCCATGGCAACCGAGAACATTCTAGAACGTGGTAACTTAGCACGGACTCAAACTCGCGAAATGTACCTTACCGACTGAGGTCGGTAGGTGGCTCAGGAGAACCATCCAGAACACACACACATACATACATCCGGACAATTGATCAGGATCTCATATAACATGTTTCTATGTAGAAAAAAATTTGTTTCCACTACGATGAAAATTTTTATAAACAAAAGGACAACAAAGCTTCCTCCACGAGGAAGCAAAATAGAATATAATTAAATAATAAAGGTTAAATAAAGTTTAGTTATATTATTTTAGTCTATATATATGTGAAACATATGAAACCAATTACCAATTTGTAATTGTCGTTCGCGCTATATATATTTTTGTGAATTACCCCAAAAATTCCCATAACATTTTAAATCAAATTTCAACTATTTTATTGAATTCAAAAAGTAAAGAATATTTTTTAATTTGATTAAAAAAATTATAAAATTTAAAAAAATTTTCCGGCTCACCATGGATATTTATTTTTTGACACTTTATCTTCAAAAATATGTATTGATATTTATCATTTCGATAAAAAAATGTTTTAAAATTTCAGACACCAAATCATGCGCTACGCGGAGAATCACCCATATATACTTACATTTTTACCAAATTTGAAGTGAAATATTAATTTTTAATCAGTTTTTATAACAGTTAGATCTTTTTATTATTTTTATAATAAATTGTCTTTTTTAATATTTCCAGTTACGTAAACAAGGTACTATTTTTGTTTTAAAAATGATTAACATAATATATGAGGCATTTTACGTGTAATGTCCTGAGTTAAAAAATTGATTTCTCGAAAAAAAATGAAACTTGGGGAAATTGTTGTCCTACCTGATAGTAAAATATTGACCGCCTCGCCGCGCGCCAAGACATAAAATCTTTGACTTTTTATATCTCGAAAACAAAAAAATCGGCATTCTGAAAATTTATATACAGATCGGAAAAAACCTCAGCTTTCGTTTACAATTATTTATTTTAAAAAAACGCATCGATTTTAGTTGAAATAGCAAATTTATGTTTAATTATAGAAAATCAAGGTCAAAATTCAAAAATTTTAAAAAACGAAATTCACTTTTGGAAAGAGCATAAAAAAACCTTCAAACAACATTCCTGCCAAATTTTTTTTTATTGCATTTATAGACAGAAAAAATTTAAATAGTAGGCGGTGTCAGGGAAAATTGATAAAATTGGCCCCCCTCTATCCCCCCCCCAAAATTTCAAAAAAGTCAAAAAATTTTTTGGGGATATTTTACTATCAGGTAGGACAACAATTTCCCCAAGTTTCACTTTTTTCGAGAAATCAATTATTTAACTCAGGACATTACACGTAAAATGCCTCATATATAAGAAAATTGATGCTTTAAAGTTTATCAATTCTTACTTCCCACACAGCACCCAAAATTCCCTGAAACTTGACAGAATCTCACACGGCGAGGTTAGGAAACTTCAGTGTCAAGGTTCATACAAGTTTATGTGTCGATGTTAAAATGTCCACATGAAAAGAATATTTACACGAAACTTTGAGGGAATATTACACTATAAATATTCATGTGCAATGTTAAGTTAATGTTGTGTCAATATTGACCTATACTTATTATATTAGTAAACGAAAAAAAAAAATTTGTTTGTTTTCTCAACCAAGTTATTTTTTGGTTCACGCTTTTTGCTTTATATAATGTACCTATGCCTACTTAAATTAATTTCT